GCCAGCGAGCGCAAGGATTCGCACAAATAAATGTCTAATAGTGCATCAAACCGGGTTCTAGAAGAAGCGTGGACAACCACCGGAGGAAGGTCATTCCACGCAGCCACTACCCAAAATGGAAAAATTTTGTCCAATTAGTGTGCGCGCTCTGAGCTTGAAAACCTTACTACTATGCCCCCGCCACGTGTTTGTTGGGTCAACGATGAAAAACCTGTCTTGCCAAGTTTTGTTCCGACTGGGCATAAGTAAGAATTAGGTCTCCTCGGAGGCGACGGTACTCCGGGGGAAAGAGATCAAGCATCGTGAGACGCGTTTCGTAGTCTACGGATTTGAGGCCGGCAACCATTCTCGTAGCGGCTAGCTGGACACGCTCTGTGAGGGTGACATCTTTTGTACATCCTGAGTAGACAACTTGGTTGGCGTACTCCAGGAGCGGTCTGACGTAGGCCCCATAGAGTATTTGGAAGTCCATGCGAGTAATATGGGAAAAGATGCATAGGATCATCCACAAAATGGCGAATGCCTTTTGGGCCGATTTCTCATGCTGCAGTGAGAAGGACAAGTTTGAGGAGACCCAGATGCACAGATCCTTTTTGGCATCAATCCTCATGAGGTTTTCCGGTCCTTTCTCACCATGCATGACAAAGGCATTCGCTGAGTCCCCTCGAAATGACATACGGACGCACTTTTCGTCATTTAGATGAAGGTGCCAGTCCAACGACCAGTGCTCTGCAGCGTCTACATCCGTTTGGAGTGCACTAGAATTGGAACTCCAGGATTTGAAGTCATCCGCAAAAGTAGACATGGATGTGCAAGGACATCTGGGAGGTTGTTGACGTAGGTCAGAAACAGTAGTGGCCCCAGGACGGAGCCTTGAGGGATTCTGATGGTGACCAGCGCTGGAGAAGAGTAGGTCGAGCACATTCTCACTCGGAATGATCTGTCTGATAGAAGCGCCTTTACCCAGCGAAGGATTTTTCCTTGAAGACTCCAGTTTGTGGAGCAGCGGGATGTATGGGACCCCATCAAATGCTTTGGAGAAGTCGAAAAATATGGCATCCGACATGAGTCCTTCGTCCTTGGCCCGGGTTAAACTGTCCCTAAACACGAGCATATTTGTCACGCAAGAGCGGTGTGGGAGAAATTCGTGTTGAGCTGGAGATATCAGATTGCTGGAAGTAAGGTGATTTAGGATAGCTCGCTTCAAAACGCGTTCCATCACCTTGCACGGCACGCTAGTGAGGCTTATGGGCCTGTATTTGCCAGGCGACAGTCGGTCACCAGTTTTGTAGATTGGCGTAACAGTTGCTTCCTTCCAAGTAGAGAGAAGGCGTCCTTCGTCAAGCGAATGACGAAACAGAAGGCGTAAGTGATTTTCCAGTGTGAAGGGCGTTTCCTTCAGGATCTTTGGATGGACCTCTTCTGGCCCAAATGCGCAGAATGGGTTGATCTTGTGCAAGAGTTGACGAATGTCCTACACCGTGAAGACCAAATCGGTTAGAGGCTGTTCGTAGTACCGCCTTGACAAGAGTGGATGTGATGAGGACGCTGGGGCTGAGTATAGACAAGTATAGTGTTCTATGCAAATATTAGATACCACTGTTGAGTCACTCGTCGGTTCTCAGCTTCTGTCTCTCAATGAGGACGCGGATGTTTTGTTTCTGCGATGCTGTCTCATATATTTGAACAAGGCGTTTTTTTCGAGCGAGGTCAAGAATGGTGGCTTGTTTTCGTATGTTCCATCTGCGGATTTCTGATTTACAGCGGTTCCGCATTTTACGAAATGCCAGCTCACCTTCTGTATCCTCTGTAGTTAAATTTTTGAAAAACATTTAGGCCTTTTTCCAGAAGTCATCGAATCCTTTTAGGCAGTCTGCCGTCCTCCGAGTGCGAGCTGGTTTTTTGGGACGAACATCGCATCAGCCTCGTGAACTGTCTGGAAAATGGTCCTATATAATTCATCCGCTGGAGCTGGTCCCAGTGTGACTGGTTCAAGAGAGATGCGCACTCATGAAAAGTCTGCACGGTAGAAGCCTCGAAACAACGTTTGAGGATTTCAGGCTCAATAGTAGGTGAAATCAAAGGTCAGCACACGGTGGTCGCTATGTCCCAATGGAGCTTTGATCGTTACCTGACAAACGAGGTGTCTTCCGTTAGTGATGACCAAATCCAGGAGGGATGGTATTTGGCCTGCGCGGTATCTGGTGGATGCAACGACATGTTGAGTCAAAGAGCTCTGCTGAACGAGTTCAATCAGTGCCGCTGAAAAAAGTCCGCTTGGTCCGACGCGCTGGAGCTCCATCCAAGAGGCCTTTGGTGCGTTGAAATCACCCACCAGCAGGAAGTGAGTTAAGTGGTAGTTGGAGGATGGTTGCTCAAGGGTTTTTTTATGAGGAATCGGTCATCTTCAGTGTGACCCGAGGGGCTACGGTAGACCACGCCGAGAGGGAGAGAATCAGACCCGCGCAGCGGGATTTGGATCCACAGTGAACTATTTGGTTTGGTGGCAGAACAAGCAGACGGATCACTGAAGCGGCCACAGTTGCGAAGTTCCTGCACAAATCAAGCGGACTGAACCCGTCTTGTGGATAACACGCTTGTCTGGAGAATATTGGAGATATAGTGAACTGCGGGCAAGCCATCAGACTGGGTATTGTTGTCCCGGAACCGTCATCGCGCCGCCGTACTTGGGTTCGTGAACAGCACGCACATGAACAACTTGGATAAACCGTTTGTGGTTGTCATTGTAGTTAGGATATTCTTGGGTCCATCAGGGGTTCACAGTAGTTCACTGCTGTCATTCAAACGAGGAATTGGTCATCCTCAGGGGGACTCGAATGGCTACGGTAGACTACACCGAGAAGGAGAAAATCGGACCTGCGCAGCGGGAGTCGGACCCACAGCGCATCGCAAAATGGTGTGGGAGTGGTCTCAGAGAAGACAACTGGGATTGGAAGGGTCACATGTAATTAGAGGGCCCTCTATCGTTTTGAGTCATCTCGGAAAATAGAGTAAACGTCTATCGAGATCTCCGCGTCAAAGACATCTGGTGTGAGCCAGGTCCTTGTGGGTGCGATTATTGAAGGTTGTTCAAGGCAAGCTGACACCTAACATCGCCGAGTTTGCTGAAAAGGCCGAGGCAGTTTGTGGGCAAGCACTCAAGCACGGTCTCTTCTGCCTCCGAGGGTGAGGAGCCGAAAGTTGAGTGACTAGGTTGGTTAGCAGACTTAATAGTTGTGCGCCGGGTTTGAGTCCAAGGCTCCAAAGGGGCTCCTGAGGCAATGTCGTCTGCCTCCTGTCTTCGCGGTTTTTGGAGGTGTTTTTCGCTTGCGAGNGTTGTTTGTGCGCCGGGTTTGAGTCCAAGGCTCTAAAGGGGCTCCTGAGGCAATGTCGTCTGCCTCCTGTCTTCGCGGTTTTTGGAGGTGTTTTTCGCTTGCGAGGTTTTTTCATTCAGTGAGAGCCCGGTTTGCTCGATTTTTCAGCTTTAGGGGGCGGAGATTTTCCCCCACAACTTCTTTATGTAAACAGCAACACGAGCCTTGTCCTTCCCAAACTATTTTTCTTTGTAATCCGGCCATTAGGGCGGTATCTCCGGTAGCCGATGCGTGCTGAGAACGTTTACAACCTCAAACTGGCACTAAAGCCGCTCCTTTCCAAATATTTCTCTTGATCATCTAAAGTTCGTTGTATATTTGGCCTGCCAGTCTGGCCTCTGTATTCTCTTTCTGTATCCACATCCATCTACCCAAATTATATAAAACGCATCCGCATCGCCGTATCCTCCGTCCATCGCATCTTCCCTCTATACCAACAACAGGTTTAGTATACCTTCAGTGTGTCCTCAGGTTTCATATGGGTACACCTTGCAATAGTCAGTTAGCATTGCCTCAAACTTTCCTTCTTCCCAGCCGGTAATAATTCCTCACCAGCCTATTACTCCCAGTTAGCTGTCATAATTTGAATAGTTTTGTGTAGTTCACACCGCCCTAACCCACAGAGATTACTCATTGCCTTTTCGAAAAACATTCTTAGGTTTCGAATTTCCAAATGCAGTTTCACATTTTTTCCTAACTTCGATAAGTGTCTTTTATATGTAATACAGTATAAAACAGGTAGGCGGATCCCGGTAAGCATTTTAGTTATCACCCTGGGGCGTATATACCATAATTGATGTAGATAGCCGTGACACATATTGCTACCGGTGAAAAGAAGGCCTTCGCTACGGAGTTATTTATTCGGAAATGCCAACTGACCGGTTACAGACCATTAAACAGGGGACCAAAACTCTAATCTGCATCTTGGTTACAAAAACTGGACACAGATATTCTACCGAAGGAGTCATCCTAGAGATTCATTGCCGCCTCTCATTCGTCGGTCAACTCCAAGCAAATGTTACAAAGTGACCCCACGAATTCCGCAACACAATTCCCTTTTTCAATCGATGCAAAGCGAAATTCTACGAACAACACATACTACTCGCGTGCCTTCCAAATCAGTAGTGTCACCGTTACACGCCTCCACCCCTTAAAGTTCGTTCGCATGCCATCGATTTTCATTTTGCCTCCGTCAGGTCG